GAGGTGATAATTGGGGAAGCTATCTTTGTAATGGGTAAGATAATTAGCATCTTTATTCAAACTTAGGTGTAAAGTGTCGAATTTAAGCATAATGACAGTTCAGAGGATTCTTTCAAGTGCAGTCTTAAAAGGCCTTTGAAGCAGGATGCAGGTAATCAAGTCATTGAGACAATGTCCTTTCTGGTTGAAATGGCAAGAAACTGTTTTTTCTTTGTGATCTTGTTTAATATCTGTTTTGTGGGCATTGATCCTTTGGCGAAGTGTCTGAGACGTTTGGAGTATACTAAACTCCGAGAGGCTCTGGGAGACAGACCCATAGTCTCCTATAGACAACCACCTAACCTCAAGATGATTCTTACCAACAACCACAGGACATACCACACTAACACCAACCCTGGTACCTTCCCTTGCAACAAACCCCGTTGCCAGCTTTGTCCACATATTCACTCTGCTGATACCATTATTGGACCTAACCAAGTGAGTTATAAGATCAAGAACACACATTCCTGTGCATCCAGAAATATAATTTATGCTATCATGTGCCGGAAGTGTCCGTCTGCTATGTACATTGGACAAACGTCTCAGACACTTCGCTGAGAACTTTGCCTAAACAATAAGAGCTAGGACCACGCCAAAGACGTACTCAGTCTTAATTCTCCAAATGGCTTTATTTTATTATTTTTATGTTCAAAATTTAATGCTTGAACCCTAAAACCCACATGAAGTATGGCCTGCTAGCATCTTGGATCTAGTAGAAATAGCACTTGCAGATTTTAAAAAAACCGCTTAGCTTTGATGGCTCCTTCCCTCTGTCTGCGCACACACACTTTAGCGTGGTTGCTTTGTGGCAGAGCACACAGCCCTCCCTACGGCTCTGTTGTGTGTAGAGCTGGTGCAACACTTGCCCTCTTCCAAAATGGCCAAGCAACAATGCCTCCTGGAAGATAGGGGCTGCAGGTCCTTTTACCCACTCCAGCACTCTCCTCTGGGTGATGGCAGCCCCATCCTCACCAGGTGTATTCCAAGCCGTGTGTCCCTTTGACTAGCGATGGGGCGACCTAGATCAGTGAGTGGCCTCCTCCATCTCAGTGAGACACAGGATTGTTGTAACCAAGATGCTCACCTGGGCCAGGGCAGTTTTGCTCAGTGCGCTTGCGTCCCCACGATGTGCGGGGGGTACGGGTGCCAGTGTAGATGTAGCCAGTACCAGGTCCCCTGCCGCATTTCAGGGTGTTCATGGCTATTGTCAGTGCTGCTTTGTGTGCTGTGAGGGCTCTGGAGAGGGAGCAAAATTCCTGCTTCCTGGCTTTGGTTCTGCACTTTGCTTTCTGGGGTGGTTTAGCAGTGAGGATGCTACTTGGCTTTGCGGGGTCCCTGTGCTAGGCGGGGGGCGTGCTCCATGCCCCTGGAAGGGGCAGGGCTGGAGTGGAAGGGGCACAGTTGGGGCGAGGCAGCCCTTAGTGCCGACTGGAGCGAGGGGGTTGTGCCTAACCCAGGCAATAGCCATGAGCTCCAGGCCCTGTTGGATTTGTGCCCAGAGGGGGGAATTGCCCCGTCAGCAGGCCTGGTCTATAGCGGCGCACTGTGGTCGTCGGCCATCAGGATTCAGCTTCCAAACGGAGACCCGCGTTTGTGTGCTGTTCCGGCACAGATCCGGTGTTCGAATCCATTTCCTCCAGCAGCCGCCCCCGCCCCTTTCCCAAACATCCCCCCGAGCCTCTGGCTTTCGACACAGTTCTCTCCTAGCTATTATTTGAACAGTGCGGCTGATGACAATGCACAGGAATCTCTTAACTGCACTGTAAACTGGTCCTGCAACTTTACCCCCTTCCTCTGTCGAGGGCAGGTTTCCCCGAGGGCGGCTGTTCCGAGTCCCCTGGCACTGCTGAGCTGTGGCGTTCACTGCACGGCCTGCTCCCTCTGCCTACTGCTGTGCATTAGACACCCACCTCATCTGCTTATTGCTGTTTGCCCATCAGGAAAAAATACTCAAAGGGGGATCGCTCCGAAGGGAAATGAAATAAGAGTCAAACCAAGTTGTTGGGTGCCTACACGTAGGCACCCAGGTTTAAAAGTTTGGGCCGGCCCTTTAACAAAGTGTGAAGGGCTGGCTGGTCACACACACGTTTACATGGATAACAATCAGGTCTCGCCAATTCATGTCCAAAGCAGCCCAGGAGATGTAACTGAGCTGCTGCTTGCCAGCCAGACCTCTTGCCTGCCTTTTTTTTTTTTTTTTTTTTTTTTTTTTTTTTTAAACCACCTCCCCTCACATAAGCCACAGTTTTTTTTTTTTTTTTTTTTTTTTTTTTTTTTAAAGCCACAGTCCTCACATTTGCTGGGCAAAAATTCATTTTCTCAGCTCTTGGTGTCACCCTAGACCTGAGACTGGGTATTCGATAGGAGGAAATTTGTCCACACCAAACCGATTCCATGAGTTAATCAGATATTAGCAATCCAGCCCCCCTCCCCAAGGTTTATGTTGGCCTAAGGAAGGAAACACACAGCGCAGCATAGCCAGGGAAGCGCTGCCTATCATGAAGGGCCAAACCAAGCAAGAACACATCCTCCGGGAGGAGTCATTTTACTCAGCCAGGATATTCCCTATTACTGCCCCTGCAGGAGTAATTTACGGATTCACTCGCCTATGCCCCTGCAGAATCAAGTCAGCTCGTATGCCAATTTGTCATCGCCGCAGAATTCATTGGAGTTCTGTTCTCACAGGACCCTCGGCGTGCCAGGCAGGGGGCACTTTTAGCCCTGGTTAGCTGGCCCATGAGGCATACAGACAGCTGGGTCAGCGGTGACCACCCCGCTCTGAGCCACGGTGGCTGGACACACCGTCCCAGGTCAATGGGTTCCCTGGTACTTCTGGGAATGGGGGGGCCCGTCCACGGCCGTGCAGGCGTGAGCTCGCACTGCCCAAAGGACGCCCCTTGGAAGAACACGTCTCTCCGCTCATGCAATCAGAGGCAGAATGGCTAATTGTTCACAGTGACACCCCTCGCCTGCGACAGCCCAACCCCCAGCCTCTGCCAGGGGACTAGTCACCCCAAAAGCGGGCTGTCTGGTTTACAGCTGGAAGGGGGAGGGGGCTTCGTCACCAGCGTTGCTCCTTGTTTTACAGCCCTTGTGCCAGGCGGACCCAAGAGAGTCAATCGCGTTCCCACAGCAGTGCCGATGTTGCAACCAGAAATTTTCCATTGTTTGTTTTCCTTTCAGGAGTTCACATACAGAATTGAGAGGAAACATTGTTGGGGGGGATTTAAGTGCCCGTTACAGGTTTTTTTTTTTTAATACATGCCATTTGTGGGCTTCCGACACTGTTAAGAGGCATTTTCCCATTTGCTTTAGATACCATTTTACTTAAGATCTGTCAAATGATATTGTGAAGGAGAAACTTGCAAAGGAAAACAACTCTGAAAAACGGTACTCTTTGCCCGGCACACATCTTCAAGCCACTTCAGAGCTTGTTCGCACAAGCGACAGATTAGCAAATATTTGTCCAAAAGCCAAACTAACACAAGTACAAGGAAATTATAAAAATTGTGGGAGAGGTTAAACACAAATCAGCCATAAAACGAATCCTGCCTCGCTGCCCCTTTTCAAATGGTTTCCTTGAAGATTAAAAGTCCACAGTCTGAACAGGAAGAATACAGATAAAAATGTAAGACATTTAAGGCCAGAACCCAGCCCCGTCAACACTCCAAAAAAAGGGTGAGCATTATACCAGGTGTTGACCGTTTACAGTACTACGCCAACAGCTGTTGCTCTCTGGCTGGTGGTAGGAAGAAGTAGACGGAAAGCACGGCTGTGGCATTACTGTGCTGGGATTTAAGACAAATTGCCTCCCCAACAGCCGGACTGGAGAAAGACACGGGCTGCAGCTGAATCCAAGCTTCATCTTTGCTGACTGCGAAGCTGAAAGCACCATGGAGGCCCAGAGCCCTTGAAAGCCCAAGACCCATCCCCACATGGGCGGGGGGGAGGGCGCCTCTACCAAGCCAGGGAGTGGCCCCTGGTTTCCCAGTGCAGGTTAGTTTGAAGACGCAGAGGGAAGGAAGCCCCACGGGATTGCGTTTACAAGGGGAGCTTTCTGCAGCTTTCCTTCCCTCCCAGCCAATCTCAGACACTAGACTCCCTGAGCTTCAGTCCCCCCCTTTGCCCTCAGCCCCGGCTCAGCCATTTGCTCCTACTCCAGCCACAGCATCTGCCAAACCCAACAGCCCAGCTCAAGCAAACGGAGCTGGCTTGGCCTTTCCTGCTCCCGGCGTTCCCCTCTCCTGCAAGAGGCTCTGAAGCCTGCAGCCACCTCCCTTGCACTCCCTTATTCCATTACAAAAGCCAAGCCAACCCCGCCTCCCACCCCCGACAAGCCCCAATCTAACCTGCAGTAGGATCTCCGAAGCCACTTGCAGCTGAAGGCCCTGGCTGGGTAGGAAGCCCAGGAATAAGGAGAGAGCCATTCGCAAGCCATGCTGGCTGTAACCAGCCAAACACCTGCAACCCCCAATCTGTGCTACATGGCACAGGGAGCGGCCTGGCTCTCCCACTGGGTCACAGGTACCCAATTACCACCTATTAGCTCCTGGTATATCTACAGCCCGGCCCACAGAGGTCCAACCAATGCCAGCCCTGCACCTGATACTCCCCAGCCACAGCCCCACCCTGCTAAGCCTTACCTGGGAAACAAACCACCAGGCACATCTTCAGCCTGACGATGTTTCCAAACAAAGCCATGGCGCCCGAGGAGACCAGGTCCCCGCTTTGCAGACTTTTGGGGGGTCAAAAAGCAAGTGCTTCCGCGTGGCATAAATCTAGGGGCTTGCAACTGCTGCAAAGGCAACTTGGGGGGGGGGGGGGGCGGGAAAGGCCACAGAAAATGTGGCAGCAAAAGCAATTACCTGTCAATTGTAGGACTCGCCTTAATGAAGCTAATTCAGCCGGCGCATTCTCAGCGTTTGGCGTGGAGCTGCCTTTGGCATTCCTCCCCGGGGCCAGAGCAGCCTCCTGTTGTATTCTGATCAGCTGGGCCCAGGAAGCTCATGACACTACGTTCGTCTCTAAGGTGCTACAGGGCCACTTGTGTTTTACGTTAGGGTCTGTCTCCACTACAGATTGAATTCGAAAGAACAGCCATTCTGTCGAATTAACTGTAATAGCGTCTACGCATACAAACCGCTAGTTCGAAATAAACTGGAAATAGTGGAGCCCTTATTTCGAATTTGGTAAACCTCATTCTACGAGGAATAACACCACATTGGAAATAGCTAATTGGAAATAAGTGCTGTGTAGACACTTATTTCGAATTAGGGGGCCCCCAGCCCTTCCCAGTTCCCCCTGGTGGCCTCTCTGGGCACAACCAGCAAAACTCATCTGCTCCCCCCCAGCCCCAGAGCCCTTAAAGGGGCAGACTCTGGCCACTGGGCACGTGTGAGAGCCAATACTTCACCTAGGCAGTGAGTTGAGCTACTGCTATCCCTTTCCTGCTCAGCTGCTCCTCAGCTGGCTGCTCAATTAATTGTAGAAGAGAGAAGAGAATAATGCGTGTTGTTCCATTGTTTTCTTCTCTGCTAGGTTATGGGAGCCCCAGGAGAGAGTTCACTGTTGCCAAGTCATGGGTTCTTGGACTTGGTAAAATTTCTTGAAAGTCCCACCTTCTGGAGTCAAGGTGTCTGGTGTTTTAGCTTCCAGACACAAATATTAATACTTGTCATTACAAACCTGACATTCACGGTAGGTGACTATTTTGTGACATTTGCTCAAATATTTTTACTTTAGTGAACATTTGGCCAATAAACTCATTTGCTGCAATAGCTTTAGAAAGCAAGACAAAAGAACTTTGAACCCAGGTGAAGTGAGGGGCATCTCTATATTAAGAGAGGGCATCTCTCCTTCTAGTTGGGTAGCATTTTTATTTAAAAGTAGGGATGTTAAGAAGCGAGTATTTCACTATTTGTGTAGTTGATAGAAATGTTATCAACTACATGATTAGTTGATAAGGGAAGGCGCTCAGTCCTGGCTTGCCCAGCTCTTACTACATTTAAACTGCAGAGATGCAGCAGCGGTAGCTCCCAGATCTGGCGTGAGCTGGGACTGAGCTAGGCTTACTCAGTCTCAGCTCGCACTGGGTGCAGCAGCCCCTGACTGTGGGAGGTCCCAGCATGTAGCTGCTTGGGCCTACCATGGGCAAAGGCTGCTTCGTGGCCTCCTGCCCCACCCCCCTTCCACGCGGGAGGGGAGGGGGAGCAGGCGGCACTACGGAGATGGCAATGGAGGGAACCGGCTTTTAAGCTGGCTCCCCCCAGCCCTGGCTCCTGCTTCCTCCATCCCTTGCTGCCTCTGATACAGAGGCAGTAAGTGGGGGGCAGGGAATGCAAGTAGTCAGCTCAACTAACCAAGAAGCCTAGGCTTATCGGTGAGTCAACTACTTGTCTACTGGCTTACATCCCTATTTAATACCCCTTAGAACTTTTCCTGATTCCTCAGTGTGGTGCAATGTGGTGTCTTTGGTGAAAATCAGAGATACTGTCATTAGTTTTTACTCCCCTCCTCTATGTACGGGAAAGCCAGGAGTCACTCAAAGTGGGATTATTGTAAGCGCACAGCATTGGTGTAACTCAGTGGTCACCAACTAGTAGATCAGGATCTACTGGTAGATCTTGGAGCCTCTGACAGGTGATCCTGACTGGTTAGGCCAAGAGGCTACCACGTGCCAGCACTTCAGCTCCCCTCGCCCCCCCCCCCCCCCCTCCCCCCCCCCCTCTTCCCCCTCACCCTCCACACCCTCCTCCCCATCCCCCCGGGGACACCGAGGCCCCCTCCCCCGCTGTACTAGGAGGCATGTGGCCCGGCGAGACCCTGAGCCCTGAGCTTCCCCTCCCCTTTCTTCCCCGACCCCCAGCCCTGAGTGCTGAGCTCCCCCTCCCCCTTCTTCCCCTTGCGTCCCCCTTCCTGCTCCCTCCTCCCAGTTTTCCCCCTCCCCTCTCCCAACCTCTCTCCTTTCCCCCGTCTCCCCAGAGTTTCATTCCCCCTCCCCAGTTGTGTTAAATAAAGACAGGTTATATTTTTGAAAATACGTGTCTTTTATTTGACATCAAGAAGGGGGGGCTGGGGAAGTGGAAGGAGGAGAGGGGGGAATGGGGCACAAGCCCCCAGTGGGGCAGACCGGGGAGACTGTTAGTGCTCCTCAGGGTGGAAACTCTCCCACAGGGACCCCTGGATCCAGACAGCCCCTCAATGGTGCTCCTGGATGGCAGCCTCCAGACAGTGCAGCCAGGCTGCCGGCAACGTGTCCATGAGATGCAGTAGAGCCCCTGGGGGCAGGTCTGGTTCCATGCTGCAGAGTGAGGGCAAGCAGGGCACTCCGAGACACGAATGCTTTGCTGTCCCTCAGCGAGGTGGACCAGCAAGCAGAGAACCCTGAGAACTGTCTGTCCGGGATGGGGGGTCGGATCCCTTTAAGCGCAGCCCTCGGCTAGCCTGAGGCAGCAGCTCCACACACTAAGTCCAACCCTGATGCTCTGCCGGCGCTGGTTCCGGCCAGCCTTACCTTCGATTCAGGGTCCACTCAGTGTGGACGCACTATTTTGAATTAGAAAAACGCTATTTCGAATTCGGTTTTGTGTCTAGATGCGTTATTTCAATTTAGCTTATTTCGAATTAACTAATTCAAAAGAAGTTAATTCAAAATAGCGCTGTAGTGTAGACAGACCCTCCCAGACTAACCTGCTGAGATGTTCCAACCCCGCTGATGAAGCGGATTTTACCCCCGGAAGCTCACGACTGAATACATTTGTTAGTCTCTAAGGCTATGTCTCCGCTGCACAGTTATTTCGGAATAGGCTAGTCCAGAATAGTTATTCCAAAATAGTTTGTTTCGAAATAGCACATCTACACTGCAGGGAAGCCACAAAATGAGTCTGAGGCAGGCTTCCCTCATGTAGACATGTTATCTCGATTTATAGCCCCAGGAGGAAACACTTCGAATGGCCCTGGTGAGGGGCTATTTCAAAGTAGCAGCAGAGGACCATCTAAACACACACCTTATTTCGAAATAGCTATTTCGGAAGAGGCGTTATTCCCCGTAGAATGAGGTTTACAGATTTCGGAATCAGCCGTCCCTTATTTCGAAATAATTTCAAAATAATGGAATTGCTGTGTAGATGCTCGCATTGTTATTTCGGAATCATTTTGCTGTGTTGACGCACCCTATGGTGCCACAGGCCTGCTCCTCGTTTTCACAATGACAGACTAACACGGCATAAAATGGAAATTAATTATGTGTCAGTCTATCCAAACCAGGACAATAACAAACCTCACTACATCTAAACCAACAGGAGAAACCTCGTCCATTTCAACATATAGGTTCATCAGCTTTCATGGGAAAAATCCACTTCCTCAGATGAGTTGGAGTGGGAATAACAGAAACCAAGATCTATATAACAACAACAACAAAATTGCCTGTTGTAGGACCTGTGCTAATGAGGCTAATCTTGATTTCTGATCTTTCCCAATTCATCTGAGAAAGTGGATTTTGCCCACAAAAGCTCATGATACTACTGTATATTTTTGTTAGTCTCTGAGCTGCCACAGGACTGCTTGTTTTTAAAGTTACAGAGTAACACGGCTTCCCCTCTGAGCTTGTTTCAACACAGACAGCGACAAGCCAGCAATGCTACTGGAGATGTCCCGAATTCTGAGATTTTCAGCCAGGCTACTCGGAAGCTTCCTCTGTGGGGAATGGTTCAGCTGTACCAACACATTGTGCAAAAATGTCTCTCTCTGAACCAGCGCCCGTTAGAAATGTACTGCGAACAAACTGCTGGCCAGCTTAGAAAGGACATAAATATTGAGCTTAAAAAGAAAAAAGCTACAAAGTAAGCAAAATAAATGTTATGTTGGAAATGTAGAAAGAGAACACGCATTGAACGGCAGACACAGGCCCCGAAAGAGAGCCACCCCAGAACGCCAGTGCCAGCAAGAAACCACTGGAGAAATGAAATTCACCAGTAAAACAACATGTTAAATTATTTTAAATAGTATAATCCAGGTCACCCTGCTCCAGGGGAGGAAAACGGGTGGGCCAGTTTGAGCTAATAATTGCTCTGGTTGTGCTCAAATCTAAGCTGTCACCAAAGAGTAGGAATGCTGCCTATACAGGTGTGGTTTGGTTTTGTTCTTTCAGCCAGCACTTAGATATGTGTATCAGGACACATATGCCCCCTCCAACCACAGCTCAGCTGCACCACACAGAGGCATGAAAAGCAGCATGGACTGGAGCAGGCGTCAGGAGAAATGTTTCCTCTAATTGTTTCCATTAATGTGCAGAATAAATTTTGTTCTGTGCACTAAGGCCTGTGTAGATGTGCACCACCAGGATAAACACATGTTCCTGGCTGTGGGTGCTTTGCTAATCAGCTGAGGGGGCATTTGACTTCCTCATGGGTGGCTGCCTAAGTGTGCAGCTTACAGGGAAGACAGGTGGCCGGGTCTCTGATGGCTGAGCAGCCTAGTGGCTAGATCACTGAGTAAGCGGGCGGGAAAGTGGGGTGCTG